GGGGGGGGGAAGGCGTGCGGGGGCCCTGCCCTGTGTTGCCGTGCTCTGGCAATGGCACATCAGCCCGGGTACGAGGGTCACGGCGGCACCTCCTGCCGCCGCCCGCTCCCCGGCAGGGCAGCGCTCCCGCCCCCCGGATAAGCCGCGCCTCGGCGGGGAAGCGAAACCGGCCCCGCCGGCCGGGTGCAGGCAGCTGAGCTACCGCCTTCCCGGCACCGGGCTGCCGGCCGGCTCCCCCTCCGCCTCCCTCCCAGCCGCCGGAGGTACCTCACGGACTCCTGTCCCGCTCCCGGAGCAGCAGGCCGGGGAAAGAAGCCGGCACTTCCGAGACCTTCTTCCCGGGGTGGAGGTCCCTTCCCCGGTGCTGTGGGAAACGGGGCTCTGGCCAGAGCTACGGCGGTGGCCCCGCTCAGCTGCCCCGCATCAGGAGCCTGAATCATGCACTGGAAACACCTGATCTACCAGCCCAATTTGCAGCAGCTTCCACTGCTCCTGAAGCCCACCCCACATCCAGGGCATGCAGGGGAACAGACCTGCTTCAGAAGCCAGATTTGGGGATCCCAGGCTGCACCCGCAATGGCAGCGCCCTTCTTCTGGCCAAGGAGGAAGGCAGGTCCCAAGCCTCCAGGCAGCCCAAGCCAGATGCTCCCAAGGAGCATCTGACTCCTCCTCGGTGGATGTGGATGGAAGGGCAATTTGGACCAAAGTACTCCCGCCAAGCAGTAGATGTGCTAGTCAAGACATACCCACAGCACAGACAGGCAAGCAGCTCGCATTCAGGCCTGGGGCTGGGGAGCACCAGTACCCAAAATATCACACACCCAAAATACCCCCAACTGCATCCAGAGCCCAGAAAGCAAAGACTCAAAGCATGACCTAGCTCCTGCCTTCCTCCCGCAGGTAAAATCTGGCTTGCCTGTTGCTCTGGCCAGTGGCTCTTGTGCAGAACACTGACTGCTGCTACGCACCCCAAAGTCCTCAGCAATTTCAAGACCAGAGACCCTCATTGCCACCTCCAAAATCCTCTGTGTTTACAAGTCCACCCAGCCTAGGCGTGCGTATCATTTGGCACTGCCAACCTTACCAAGTGCTTATCAAACTTAACAACTTTTAAAAAGAAAAAAACCACCAAACTCAAGTCCCCATGGCTCTCTTGGCTTTACACTGGAAGTTTTGCCTGTAATAAAGCTATATGGAAGAGAATTACAAGTCACGTGTTCCTTTGGAACGCAGCAGCATATCCCTGTAGCAGGAGTCATAACTTTTAATTCTCCCCAACAATGAGTTTCTGTGAACTAGCAGCTCAGCAGAAAGCAATCACAGGCAGTTTCATTATGGCTTTCAGTTGATTATCCAAATTATAGCTGAGAGCAGAGGGCAGCCTTTTTATTATCATCATTGCTGTACAATTAGAAAATGCTGATGAAGCTCCACAAACGCAGAAATTCTCTTTTTTGCTGGTATTTTTCATTTTTATAAACGTTCCCTGGGGCAGTATCTCGGTTTGATTCGACACGCAATGGGGAACAGGTACATAGGAGGGAAGGGAGAAGAAAAGAAGGGGAAAATGGGGCAGCTCTTCACTGCAGTTAATCTATCAACCCTTGGAGCCTGGTTCAGGTTTCGCCACTCCTCCAGATGTATCTAATTCTTAGAGCCTGGCTGTAAATAATGCTGTATTTGCTACACTGGGGACACATAAAATCCAATTAAGAGCCAGGTAGACATCTGTTGGCTTGCTCTGTGCTTCTGTTTCCTTTTTGTTTCTTATGAATACGTAGCAGAGCAAACAGAACAGGATTAAATATGGTGTAAGTGCAAGTACAGTTGATAGGCTTGTTATTCATCTCTAGAGTACAGTATGAGAGTACAGTGCTTCATGTGCATCCACCACCATTAGTGACGGAAGCTGGGCCTGTACAAAGCCTACCGTGCCAAACCCTGCAGACAAAAGAGAAAGTGTTTCCTGTCCCTAAGAACTCGCTGCTGTTGTTAAAAAAACTCTACAAATTATCAGGAAATCGCTTTACCTTTAATCCATGTGCAGAGGTATTCGTGAAGCTCCACCAGGCTAGACGTGTCGGCTTGGGAGTCCAGCTAGTTCCTGCTTGGGGCTCCAGCCCAGAGGATACAGACATGGGCTGACAATGTAGGTGTCCTCACGGACATACCTTCCACCCACTGAGGCACCTTCAGCTGGGATGCAGCGGTTCCTGGTAAAAGCAAAAGTGAAAAAAGTGGTTAAAGTTTCTGTATTTCGTTCTTTCACTGCCGTATTGTCCGCCTACACTGTTTACCTGGACAAACTGCCTTTGTGAAGGATACTGTGACTTTTAAAAGACTTTAGAAAAGGACTAAGTGAGCTGCCTTTGTGAAGCCTGGCTATTGCCCTGGCTCTTGTTAGAGAACTCGGCAGATTTTGCAAAGAGCTTTTCAGCCCAGGCTCTGGGCAGGGACAAAGCCGGGGAGCACTGATCTCCCTCTTGGCTTTGCCTGTACCAAAGCAGGGCAGGAACCTCCTGCCCCTCTCGTTGTAGGACCAGCGCGCCGTCCCTGCCCCTCGACCCTTCTTGCCTGGAGCAGCAAATCCCAGTTTTGCCCACGCTGCTGACGAGTCTCCAGCTCCCAGGGAAGGAGTGGTGGAAGCCCAGCGCGGGTGACTATGGGCTCCTGGTGCTGGTGGGCAGCCTCCAGGCACCCCAGCTGGAGGGGCTGTGACAGGCTGAGGTAGCTCAGGTGCTGTTCGAACTAGCAGTGACCCCTGATAATGAGCTGCTTGGGCAGGGGGGTGCTGGGGACCACAGGGTGGTTTGCAGCAGCGTGAGGCTGGCAAAGGCTGTGCCTCGCTGCCTGCCACGGGCCGCAGGGACGGACAGATGTCACATGTGGCATCATGATGCAGCCCCCAGCCAGCTCCAGCACAGCTGACCCACCGTCTACTGGTACAAAAGGAGATCTGTGCTTCCCCTCCATGCAGGATGCAGTTGCACGTTGCACCAAGGCAGGGGTGCTCCTGCTTCCACCCCTGGTAAGGGTTTGTGTCCCCACCTGAGAGTCACAGGGCTGCGGGCTGCCAGCGCTGCAAACCCCAGCACCAAGACCCACCTCCCATAACTAGACCCGGAGTGGGGCTCCTAAATAAGAGACCAAAGTCCTGCAGGCCAGAGGGACCTGGCAGGCAGGGAGACAGGGCAGCTCGGAGCCCCTTGCAAGCAGGGAGAGCAGAATGAGAATCACCGCCGGCATTTGCAGAGGGACCCTGGCACCCCAATCCTACCAGAGCACAGGGCAAATGTTTTGTCATGTGCCCAAATGAGTTAAAAGGGCTGGGGAAAGGAATTCAGGGTTAAATCACTCAGAGGTTTTTCACTGTGGATGCCTTGTTGAAATTTCCTTGAAAATCCCAACCTGCATCAGTGCTGCTTGGGTTTATATACACTTTTACAATTACACACCTAAACACATTGCGGGGAAACAAAACCGTGTCAAAACTGTAGTCATATTCCAAAAGCTACCCAGAACTAGACAACTTCTGAGTGAATTAATGCAAAACTTGATTTCTAACAACGACACAGACGTTAACAACACCTGACACAAGGGCAGCAGTTTGTAAAGTGCTACCAGAAGTTCAGATACGTAAGACTAAAGTAAAGTCAGGAAGAGGGGCTGCATTTGAACCTCACCTTGCCAGACTCATCAATTATTACTTAAAAATATTTGCAGATGTAAGTGCATAAGTGCACATAAAAGGTACATAACTGGTTTCCACTGGTCTCCCTGGGGACTGGGACCCCTTTCTGCGAGGCAGGGTTGTCACACCAAAGCGGGGTTCCTGTCCTGAGGTGCCACCCCCACAGCACACAGAAAGCAGGATCAGGGCCCCGGCCCAAAGGCGCAGGAAGGTCAGTGGGGATGAGGCAGGGTCCCTGCCATGTCCCAGCCTGGCCACCAGCTCCAAAGCCATGGCTGATTTTCAAATCTCCTTGCTGCAATTCTCCCACTGCTGAGATAAGGAGGAGGCAGTGAACTTTACATTTTATTTTCTTGGGGGGGAGGGCATACTACAGCCTGAAACTTTTCAGATATGTAATTTTTGAAACAAAACACGTTGTGCTTTTTTTTCTTTTTTTTTTTTTTCACATGAGCCCTTGAAAAGAAAACAGTCCCCATAGTGAAGTTGACATGATAAATTAGTATGGCCCTGGCAAAGCCCTCACTCTTCATTGGGCAAATACTTATTTATGGACTTTCAAATTGTGGCTTATGTAACAACAGGGTGAGTGACTTTCAAAAAACCTCCACCATGTATTGACCTGATAGAGCCTAATGGGTCCTTCAGAGCAATTAGGATTTATTGTGTTAGCGTCTATTGTGTATAAAGCCCATTTTAAAAACATGTGTTATTTACCCAGAAGGCAGTAATGACTGTTTAAATACACAGTTAGATCATTTCTGAAATG